TAAACAGGAAGCACTGGAAGTCCAGGCACAGTCAAAGAACCATAATGTGATTGGAATAAGAAAGACTTGGGGGGGCATAACTTGCATGAGGGGAGCACTGTCATGGAAGGGTATAAACTTTTCAGGAGGGACAAGCTGGGGAGAAAACATGGAGGAGTTGCACTGTATGTAAGAGAGCAGTATGATTACTCAGAGCTCCAGTATGAAACTTGAGAGTCTTTGGGTTAAGATTAGAGGTGAGAGCAACAAAAGTGATGTTGTGATGGGCATTTGCTATAGACATCAGACGAGGAGGATGAGGGAGATGACACATTCTCTAAATAACTAACAGAAGTTTCCAGATCACAGGCTCTGGTTTCCATGGCAGACTTCAATCATTCTGACTTCTGCTGGGAGAGGAGTACAGCAGCGGCCAGGCAACCCAGGAAGTTTCTGGAGAGTATTCAGGATAACTTCTTGGTGCAAGTGCTGGAGGAACCATCTAGGGGCCTTGCTCCTCTTAATCTGCTAAATGGGGAAGGCAATCTAGTGATGTGAAAAAAGCTGAAGTACTCAATGCTTTTTTTAGCTCAGTCTTCATAGACAAGGTCAGCTCCCAGACTGCTGCACTGAGCAGCATGGTATGAGGAGGTGAGCAGCCCTCAACAGTGAAAAAACAGAATAAGGACTGTTTAGAAAAGCTGGACATGCACAATACATAGGACCAGATCTAATGCATCCGAGGGTACTGAGAGAGTTGTCTGATGTGATTGCAGAGACATTGGCCATTGTCTTTGAAAACTCATGGATTGCGGGAGATCCTGGACAATTGGGAAAAGGCAAATAAAGTGCCCATAAAAAAGGGGAAGAAGGAGAATCCAGAGATCTACAGAGTGGTCAGCTTCATCTCAGTTCCCAGAAACATCATGGAGCAAGTACTCAAGAATCTATTTTGGAACACTTGGAGAAGAGGCCAAGTGATCAGGACAGTCAACATGGATTCACCACAGGCAAGTCATGCCTGACCAATTTTATTGCCTTCAATGATGTGATAATTGGCTCTGTGGATATGGGGAAAGCAGTATTTGTGATAATCAATGATGTGATAATTGGCTCTGTGAATATGGGGAAAGCAGTATTTGTGATATAACTTGACTTTAGCAAAGCTTTTGATATAGTATCCCATAGTATTCTTGCTAACAAGTTAAAGAAGTATGGTTTGGATGAATGGAGTATAAGGTTCAATGATAGTGATCAATGGCTCAATGTCTAGTTAGCATTCAATTTTAAGTGGAGAGCTCCAGGGATCGGTCCTGGGACCGATTTTGCTCAACATCTTCACTAATGATCTCAATGATGGGATGGATTGCACCTTCAGCAAGTTTGTGGGTGACACAAAGATGGGGAAAGAGGTAAATACACTGGAAGGGATAGGGTTCAGAGTGACCTAGACAAATTGGTGGATTGGGCCAAAAGAAATATGAACAAGTTCAGAGTCCTGCACTTGGGATGGAAGAATTCCAAGCACTGCTACAGGCTGGGGACTGATGGACTAAGCAACAGTTCTGCAGAAAAGGACCTGGGGATTACAGTAGAAAAGCTGGATATGAGTCAACAATGTGCCCCTGTTGCCAAGAAGATTAATAGCATATTGGGCTGCATTAGTAGGAGCACTGACATCAGATCAAGTGAAGTGATTATTTTCCTCTATTTAGCATTGGTGTGGCAACATCTGGAGTACTGCATCCAGTTTTGGGGCCCTCACTATAGAATGATGTGGACAAATTGGAAAGAGTCCAGTGGAGGGCAACAAATATGATTAGGGGGATGGAACACATGATTTATGAGAAGCGGCTGAGTGAAGTTGGCTTATTTAGTCTGAAAATGAGAAGAATGGGAGAGGGAATTTGATAGCAGCCTTCAAGCCAGGTTAGTCTCAGTGATGGCAGATGATAGAGCAAGGAGAAATGGTATGAAGCTGCAGTGGGGGCAGTCTATGTTGAATATTAGGAAAAACTATTTCACTAGGAGGGTGGTGAAGCACTGAAATGGATTACCTAGGGAGATGGTGGGAATCTCTATTCTTAGAGGTTTTTAAGATCAGGCTTAACGAAGCCCTGGCCTGGCTGGAATGGTTTTGTTGGGGTTGGTCCTGCTTTGAGCAGGGGATTGGACTATATGACCGTCTGAGGTCTTTTCCAGCCCTAATCTTCTATGATTCTAGATTACAAAAAATATTGCCAGGGTAGTGGGTGAGGGGTACAGCGGTTGTTGCCCTGTATCATACCACCCTTATTTCTGTGTTGCTGCTGGCAGTTGAAATGCCTTCAGAGCTGGGTACCTGGCCAGCAGCTGCCACTTTCCAGACACCCAGCTCTAAAGACAGTGCAGCAGAGAAGCACTGGCAATATTAGGGTGCATGTTCCTATTAGTATGTACAATAATTTGCTATCACTTTTTTTTGGAGCAGAGTTGTTATCACAGCCTGAAATATTTTCATGGGGGGACCAGCAAAAAATAAAAGTTTGAGGACCCCTTGTAATAGAAGATCAGCATAACTGGATATACCGTATCCTTGATAGACCACCAAAAGGCTACATTTATTTCACATCTCTGCCTTTGCAACAGAAAACATACCGACTTTATACAGAGATAGGTCAACCCTTTCTATTGATCAGGGTTCCAGTTTTGATTCCCCCAGAAGGCCACTCCACGTAAAGATGGAAAGTATAATCCTTTTAAATCACTGGTGTTACTTTCAGCAAATGAATAAACATAGATGGCTACGTCTACACTGGCATGATATTCCGGAAATGCTTTTAACGGAAAAGTTTTCCGTTAAAAGCATTTTCGGAAAAGAGCGTCTAGATTGGCAGGACGCTTTTCCGCAAAAGCACTTTTTGCAGAAAAGCGTCCGTGGCCAATCTAGACGCGCTTTTTCGCAAAAAATCCCCGATAGCCATTTTCGCGATTGGGGCTTTTTTGCAGAAAAGAAATATCTGCTGTCTACACTGGCCCTTTTGCACAAAAGTCTTTCGGAAAAAGACTTGCCCGAATGGGAGCAGCATAGTATTTCCGTAGGAAGTCAGTGCTTTTGTGGAAATTCAAGCGGACAATGTAGACAGCTGGCAAGTTTTTCCGGAAAAGCTTCTGATTTTCCAGAAAAACTGGCCAGTCTAGACACAGCCTAAGTGTATTCAGTGACCCATCAGACACTATGTACAGGTTATGTGAGAGCATTCAGAAGACCACAGTGAAATGCATCACGAAGCCAAATCCAGTTGAATCAAAATGTTAGAATTGTCACACTAGTTGAATGCTTAGGATTCAAGACAGGAAGGAGGATCACACGGCTCATTTGAGAGATGATATAGTTATGAATCATAGGCTACATGTTGCTCATAATATAACAATGCATGCCCACCACAAAGCCGTAATGGAAACCAAAGCTGTTACACTTGAGGAAGCTTCTGCCAGGTCTGATGCAACCTTCTTATATAAACATTTGCATAGCCTCATGGATGACAAGAAAGGTCATTCACTTAGAATGGTCAACTCCAGTTCTAATCAGTTTATCATTACAGAAGCAGAGTGTATGGTGCAGTTGCTAACTGTACCCTAACATTTAAATCACTGCCAAGCTGACCTATTATGCCCCCAAATTATCCTTTTTTCATATCATGAATTAAATAAAGACATATTTGTGTTATTTTCATGAGACTATCTTGGTTCATGCTGACTTGTTCCACCCTAACATTGTTGAATATTTGCTTGTTGTATTGAATTGCACAACAACAGAGATGTCTAATAGTGTATCTAAATAGCTGCTAACAGTGTGAAAATATATCCTGCAGGTATGGGGTATCAGGATCGAAAAAGGCATTTTGCATTAGCTCTAATGATTGGTTCCAAGAGATTTAATTAGCACTGACCAAAAGCCAGCTTTTATTCAGGCTTGCGGAAATTTATTAGCTGACTTGACTTCAACCTCACAGGATTGACTGAATACCAATCTATGTCCTTAGTGCAATGAAGCTATTCATTCCATTATTAAAAGTTTAGGTTTGTGTTCTGTAAAGTATGGAGATGAAGTAGTGGCAAAGAGGAAATTTCAGTGACCCAACAGTCCAGCTGGTTATATCGTGTGGTTCCTTGCAGGAAATTAGAGTTCACTTATAATAGCATTATTAGAAATGAGTCAGATCAGTTCAGAAAAGTTTAAGCAGAATACTTCTGAATATATGGGTTTGGTGGGATCAAGGATAGTACATGTTCAAAAGAGAAGTAAATGCTATTAGGAATGAGGCTTTTCCTGGAACAAAAGGACCCCAGGTGCCAATTGGTACTACCCTGATGAAGTACCATATCTTTGAGGTACTATTGGAGTCACAAATCTCTCCACCATGATTGTATCTTTAAGATCAAGCAAATAGCTAAATATATTGGGTATTGCATTCTTTGTCCATTTCTAAGTTATACAGGCATGTGGTGAGGAGCTGTACTGGGCATTTGCTACCCTCTGTTAGAAGCTCTGCCCAATGGAGACAGTGCCCTTTTGTGGAAAATAATGGCAGAGAAGTTAGTCCTCCAGGAACTGCTTCAAGAGGATGTCCAGCATCAACTATAGAGGGAACCAATGAGAACTGGACCTACATCAGTTGGAAGGGCTTGGAGCAGACAAAAGTCAAGAAGGCCCCATGGCACTGTAAACTAGCCTGCAAGAAGCAATTCTGTCCAGAGTTAGAGGAAGTATTTTTCCTATCTTAACCCCCAAACTCAGTTGTTCAGCCAAAGATTGTTTTTGTTTACTTTGTGGAATGTAAAGCCCAGGTGGTTACATTGAGTTGAATATCAGTTTGACTGCTGTAAAATTATAAGGAGTTTGTTTGTGAGATGGTCCACTGGCTTAGAGAAACCCATAACAGATGCATTATGGAAGACATTGACAAGTCTGTCTGTTAAATTTGTGTCTGTTATTTTTCTTGTCACTCAACATTAGAAATGAAATCAAAACCAGCATCTCTGATTTAAGTATATTTATTAATATTGGGTCTGCTAAGGCAGAAGTGGTGTTACTTCAAGTGCAGTTATGCAGTTCTTTTTCATTGCTCTCGCTACCATAATTCCGACAGCAAAGGAAGAGACCATCATAATCAATTGCTTTTAGATACTAAGTTAAATTCTGGTCTCAAACATTTACACACAAATGTCAGAGACATTACGATCAAATGCATATGTGGCAAAATTTGGCCTTGATATACGTAAGGAAAATGGTATAGTATTAAAAATGGAAATGACATTACTTTTAGGATGCTAAAGGGCTTTCTACCAATTCTATGCTCTTAGTTTGATCTAACAACTTGATTTCAATTTTCAGAATAAAATTGAATATTAATATTTCAGTTTTTAAAATCTTAACTTGCTTTAATTATCAGTGGGAATTTAATGAGTCTCTATACCCTCCAGAGTTTTATATGAATGCAATGATTAAAAATCTGTTCCCAGTTACAGACAGGAGTTCCCACTGGATTACGTTAGTACAATTGATAATTTAACCCATATTGCCCATTTTAAATTCAGATGACATTGTTTCTATTAGTTGGAAACCTTTATAGTCTTCAAAACATGAGCACTGAAGAAAATAAGGATACTGGGGAAATGCCTTTTGTAGCTATTAGTAATTACACCTTTTTTCTTCCATAGAAATATCCATACAAATACAATTATTAAAACTAACATGGTTGCTATTGAGATCCAAACATTTTCATGCTAAGGTTAGATTCCACATTTTCATGCTAAGGTTAGAATTTGCCTCAAGTTTGATTATTTTTAAATACTTCTCAAAACTAAATTAATAGATCCATGACATTTCATTACTCAGAATTTCAAAATGAGAAACAGAGATCTGCCTCTAGAGGAAGAGCAGTAGAGGGCACAAAGCTAACTAGACTTCGGGATGTAGGAATTTCTTCACTTGAAGACACCCATTTTTAGTATAGACTTTATTGGAATGAGGCTTTCACCACCCTTCCTTTCACAGGCTGAGGAGGGCGCCAGTTATCCACCATGGGGCGCACAGGTTCTGTATCAGCATTGATGGAGAGGCTTCGGAGCTTTGTCATCTGCAAAAAAGCAAAATAACAATATCAGCATGGAATTCACTTAGGGGTAATTTAAGGCGTGATGCCTAGACCGACTAGCTGGGCCAACCACTGGGCTAATGTATGGAGACTACTGCGGGCTAATGGCTGGAATAGTCTCCGGGGATTCTTACACAGTAGATCCGTTAAGCTGTGGAAACCTTTGAACATGCCTAGCCTCTTCATGACAGATCCCCACATGTCCTTGCACTGAGGAGCTCTGTGATGTGCCAAGGATAGGCAGCCTTTGTATGCCCCTTGTGCTGTGGAACTTCAAGGGAATTTTTCTTCATGATCAGGGAGGCAGGATAAGAGTACAAAGGCTGACAGAAATCAGAGCGACAGCTGGCCTGTAGAGTACTTAATTTTGAAAAGCAGTAAAAAAGTCATCTGAATTAGTAATCTGAAAAATAATAATAAATCCATAACGATCCTCATGGCTCACTGTATGCCATGTTCAGAATGTAAGGCTGTCTTATTAGGCTAGAGAAAGAGTAAGAGTGATTTAACAAAATTGTATTAAATGAAATAATGTAATTCTGTTGTAGAGAACACAGACACGTGGAGTGACTAGGCTCTGAGGCTCTCATCAGGGCTGGGGAGAAGAAATTCTTCCTTAAACCCAGAGAGTGACTGCAATAACCTTTGTGGCCAGTATGCTACCATCTGTGGGGTAAAAATAGCCTGGGGGTCCATTGCCTTGAGCCATCCACAGGCTCAAGGTGATGGGGTGCAGAGAGCACTGGTTTGCAAAGTTCTGTGACATGCAAGAGATGTGGACAATCTATGCAGGGGCCCCAAACCCTGTCCCCTTCCATTCGGCACAAGAAATGCAGCATTTGGTCCTACCAATAGAGGCTACAGAGGAGGTGTCAGGATTTGGTCCTGTAAGAAGCCCTTAACGGCTGGATTTTCCAATACATTTTTTGCTTCACTAACATGCTAAGGCACAGACTGTATCTTGTTGTCATGTAGCAGGAAGACTCAATACCCATGGCAGCAAATATTACTAAATGGGATGCTCCCTCCTGCAATACTTTGAATGGGTTTGGAGCAGGCCATTCAGTTTGTTTCTTTTATGCTGAAAAAATTAAAAATAAAAAAGTCCGGGTTAACTTCTCCTTGTGTGATACCACAAGCAGCATTTTCCAGGTCCTTTTATGACTTGATAACATGCTCTGGCTCTGCACCAGATAGCCAATGTATCCAACTGCTGCTGTACCCCCATTTGCCCTATATATGAATTTGCTGTAAAAATCCAGGCAGGCCACAGGGGTTGTAGAAATAATACAACAAAAAGTGGATTGCGTAATGATGCACAGCCTAATGTATATCGGGAGAGCACATCTTTCCAAGTGCACCAGTTGCACATTGGACAAGTCATACAGACGAAGAACAATCTTGACCTCTTTGGCAAAGGGACTAGTACTTACAATTACTGTCAGCAAGCCTAAACGTTAGCAGGCTTCTAAGATTAGAGAGCTTTAAGGGTCTGATCCTGTGAAGTTCTCTGAGATGATTGTCACTTACACAGCGTCAGCTCTTTGGGGCAGAGACTGTCATTTTTTTCAGTGTTTGTACTGGGCCCAGCTCACTGTGGCCTTGATCCATGACTGGGGCTCTTTGGCAGCATAACCACAAATAAACAACAAAGCACGGGCTACAAGTATAATTATTTTTTAAATGATCAGGCTCTCTGTTTGAACTGACTGAAGTGTTCACAAGTTACACACAAGCCCTGTTGGTTACTGGAAGAACAATTAATGCCTGGATGTAGCAGTTATTGGAAATATATCAGATGAAGTTAGATCAATGATTCAGCACATAGCTGTTGCATTAATTTCACAGTAAAATAAACCCATAAAGTGGGGGAGAGGGAGAGAAGAAGTTGATATTTTTATTGCTAATGCAACACAGAGCTATTTGTTAACAACTATGCCTTCATGAAAGTTCCAAATAAACCCATATCTGATACTCTGTTATGCAAATAGCTGAGTCAGTAAACACTAACAAGAGTTGTGTGGTTGAGTCAAGAAAGCTGACCAGAGCCAATTTGCATTTTGCATGCTAGGAGAAGCTTCCAAATATCTAATACCTTTATATTTAGGTGCAAACAAAGGGAAATAGGGAAATGACCTCCAGACCAGTGCTGTCTTTGAATGAGCTATGAAAATACAGCTCTGAGATATGTAAATATAGTCATTCAGGAGCTTTTGTTAGCGTTCACCTTTTGGCCTAGGTTTAAATCAGCCCTCAGTTCTAGTGATCTCACTGTATTCATTTACATCATTTTTCAGATAATAAGCAGCAACAAAAGTATGGGTCAGAATTTGGAAAACAAATTATTTTGTGATATACTCATGCCAACAGAATATGTATGGAGTGTCAAAAATGCCTGCCAGGGTTTATTTGTATCACATTATAAAACACTTTGAGATCCTGGGTGAGAAGTTACACATATGTAAGTACACACCGGTATATATAATCTAATAGATACATAAACAGTCCCTTAAATTTTCATTTTCCTACTGAGTCATAATCTTGAAATTTGGGACACTCATACATTGTGGACTACTGAGTGTAGGAGCAATCCTATATTAGAAAATTGATCTTTACATCTGAGATTGCCAAAAAGACCTTTGGTCAATTTTATCAGCTTTCCACCATTAAAATTTACAGATATATTTATTTATCATCAAGGACTATCATCTTGGGTATGAAACCTTCAGATCAGTGAACTGAAGGTCATCCGAAATCACCACTTCTGCCTACTAGAATTTAGCCTAGAAATTAGGGATGCGAAGTTTTAACCAGATAACTGGTAACTGGCAGGGCTGGAACAGCTCCCCACTTGTCGCAGGCAGGGATGGGGAGAGGGTGCCGTGGACAGGCGCTGCTTCAGCATCCCAGACAATGCAGCCCCTGGCCGTGGTGGGGTGGGACACAGGCAGGGGATGCTCTGGCCTGTTAGAGCAGCCCCTGCATATGGGAGAGGAGGGAGGATGTTCCAGCCCAGCAGCAGGGGTGGGGAGATGCTTGGCCCCTTTTTATAAGTTAACCGATCAAACAATATGTTTAACTGGTTAGCCAATTAAACAGGATTTTACATCCCTACTAGAAATGTAATTTTTACATAGAAATTATTGCAAGTTTCACAGTTGTCTTTATTTTCCACTGCTTCCTAGAATGTGGGGCAGGTCATTAAAGGTCACATTTCTTTGGAAAACAGTATTTCAAATAGACTGATATTAGGGAAGAATCTTTCAAAATATTAAATAAAAAGTAAATTTAAAGGAAATTATGGCTGTAAAATGAATCCCTGAGAAATGCCAATCATAAGGTTGCATTTATGATACAGTTTTTAATTAGATTATCATAAGAACCTTTGTTTCTTTCAGTGCGTAGTGAATGAAACAACAGTTCACTGTTTAGTATTAGTCTCACTCATCCTGCCCTCATTTGCTGCATTCCACAGTAAAAGTGTAATTTTTTTCCTCAGTCTTCATTCAAGAATAAATGGTGATTTTGCTCAAACTTTAAAGAGGAAAAAAATTGACCTGGGAAATGTTCTGCCTGAAAGATGAACCCTGGAGATGAATGCCAGAAGTGGACATTTCATGGAGATATGCTGAAATTTGCTTTAGTTCAAATTCAAAATAAAAACAAAACATTTAAAAATACTCTGGAGCATGGGTTCTGGGGCCATCTCTTTGGGACACTGCCAAGGGGGTCACAGATGCTAGAAGCCCTGATGTCCCCAACCCTGAGGAGATCCTGTCCCTGAATAGGGGACAATGGGCTTTTGAGGAGCTGTGAGCCTGACAGCCAGGTGTCCCACTGATCCCATGATCTCAGCTCCCACTCAGCTCTCTAGGGGTTCTCAGGACAAATTTTGTATGGCCTCAGAGTGGGGCCACCAACTCTTGCTTGGGGCCACTCTCATACTTTTCCATAAAAAACTTCATTAGCTTTAGGAAAATAAATATGCACATATACATGTCCAAATCATTGCAGTTTATTTACTGCTAGCTAATAAGCCTATTGTGAAAAGTGATATTAACAATTATACAAGTATCACTTTTCACAGATGTACTCGGCCTGGACAAGCCCGGGGACAAATTAAGCCATGAATGGAGGGAGGAGTGCTGAGGGAAGCTGTAGCCTGAATCTTCATAACTGGAGGATGGAGCCCAAAACTGCCCAAAGCCAGAGCCAGCCTCCTCACAGGCAGAGCCTGTCCCTGCCACCCCAGGACTGAAGTCCAAAGCCTAAGCCCCACCACTCCTGGGAAGGTGGGTAACTTGCCTGCCACCTGCTTCTCCAGCATTAAACCCCAGATGTCTCCAAAGCCAGGAGTGGGCCTAAGCCCTGTTGTTGCCTCAGCAACCAACACCAAGCCCATACATCCAGGAGCACCAGGGAGGGAAAGA